ATAGCACAAATGTTGAGGGCATAACATAGCACAAATGTTGAGGGCATAACATAGCACAAATGTTTACTGTGATGTTACGGGAATGTTTTCAGATAACGTTCCAGCGACATGACATTTTGCGGACATTAGCCACGTATACACAACGTTGGCGGACCACATTCCAGTAACATTGTGGCAACATTCGGTGCTACTAGGGTATATAACTAGAAACAGTTTTATAAACAAAAGGTAATGCTGCCGACACCCAAAGCACATTTGTTCTACTAGTTTGACAAAATCAAGAAAAAATAATTTACAGTTCACATACGAGGGCGTGTCGAAAAGTATAATACATGTGCATTCAAAACCTCCTTATCAGACGTCTTACAATATAACGTACTGCACATATTATGCAAAAAACAGCAATCTCTCTCTCTCTCTCTGTATATATATATATATATATATATATATATATATATATATATATATATATATATATATATATATTTATTTTTTTATGTTGACAAATGAATTATGGATGAATTATGGGTGGGAGCAATGTCAGGCACTGGGTTCTGATGCTCAAAAAGGAAGAAAACAAAATCGTCGACAAACAAATGAGTGGCGACAGCTTCAGTCTGCGGTGCAGGGAATGTCAGTTGTTTCCAAAGAGGACACTTTTAGCGAAATGAAGATATATGTATATTGTCTGAAGGATAAAGAAAGAATAAACCATTAACACTGGGACAACACAACCAACAACCCAGTGTTAATTGTTTATTTTTTCTTCATCCTTCACTTGAACCAAGACGCTCTTCTTCCAAGCGTTTATTGTCTCCATTTTGCATTATTAAAAAAAAAATAATAAAATTCCAGGTTTGCGGTGCACTTATTTAGTTCGGCACTAGAGCAGTCTCACATAAAATGGGGAACACGCTACTAACCGGGAAAGTCTCAGATTTGGCACAAAAGCATTCATAAAAAAAGAGCAAAAGTTGGCCAAAATGGCACGTAAATAAATAAAAGAAAAGGGTTTGGAGAACGCGAGAGTCGACCTCGTGACGCTGACTTCGATTTAAAAGTTAGGCCTAAAAAATGTGAATATTTTTGCCCAAAATTAACGTATTTCGCGACTACGACGGGGATCGGCAGTTGCGATATCTTTTTCCCGAGTTGTCAAAAAAAGAGGACTAGGTCCGGATGTGTCGGCTGGGCTACCCCATGGCGCCCATTCACAGGTGCGATCCCACTACTGCAGGACGCGGGAGCTTTTGCCTGCTGCGTTTCCGCCCTGGGCCGGTTCGCTCCTCCTTAGGCGACCTGGTCGCCCCGGGGTCACCTGGGGTCACCATATCGACGCCCAGCTTAGCGCGGACACCCGATCAACATAGGTCGCCAAGGGACAGAACTCCCAGCCTCAACCCGTCCGTCTAGCCCAGGCTTCCAGGCAGCTGGATTACAGGGGCACGCCACAACCCCCAGCCGTCTGCTCACCACACGCAGACGGCTTTTCTGCCTAACAATGTCTGCTTCGAGGAATGTTATCTGTTCGAAGAGTTTACGGTGTTGCAGAGACTTATGAGACGTGATTTTATCATTTTTCGTTCGTGTTATTTGTTTCGCTCGCCTGCGCTACTTGTGGAGAAGGAAGCGAAACCGAATCAGCAGCGAATGGTTTGTGACACTTGCGTGAGATGGCGCCACGTCCCAGACCTGCTAGGTAGAGAACCTACATTTAAGAGGGGAGGCAACTTAACTCGGGGAAACTGTTTGCAACCTAATGGCGGACAACTTGTGGGCTTTGTGGGCCCTCCTTGTTGTGAGCCTTGCGAGCAGAGTGGTCGCAAGTACGAAAACGTTGCGCCGTTGCGCTGTCCCGTGGCGAAGAGGAAAGCGGGAGGAAATGTAGAAACGCTAGCAGACGGTTCGTCCCCTCCTCGCGGATCGTATTGGAAGCGTATGATCTCTATGATTGGAAGTGCCCCACACTGTCTGACCACGTGACCCCAAACGAGCATTGCATAATATTTAGACGAAAACCCAGCTAAACTTGCGAAGGTTGTTCTACTTGTTCATTCCTAAACTAAGTTTAATCTATATTTATGAATCGTGACCTCAGAAGGTCTGGTGTCTTAGGATGGCAAGCAAACGACGGACTTGACATAAAATGAATCCTGTAGAGATGGCAAACTATACCCAAAGGAGTGAATTTACAAATCTTGCTATATAAAATATTTTTTCTTTAATCTCGAATTAAAAAGAGAATGAATCGTGCATGATGAACGCAGGTTGTAAGGGCATCACTGCCTAACATAGTATATTCTTGCATAACAGTTTAATTTAGAAACTTTTACTACAATGTAGATATACACATTCCCAAACTTTTAATTTATTCGCGAATACAGTCGGCACAGGTGCACCATCCCGCTTTGAATGTATGCTTTACTTCCAAGCACGCAATTACGATATTCATACTTTTCCAAGTGTTTATCGTGGCGGGTTACCCCATTGAGTGCGCTTCTTACCAAGCATCGGTGCGCTGCGGAGAAGCAACACCCGCGAAGCTCACTTTCGCGGGTATTGCTTCTCCGCAGCGCACCGGTGCTTGGTAAGAAGCGCACTCAACGGGGCTAATCCGCCGCAATCAGCACTTCGAAAAACGCGAATAGTGCAGTTCTCCTCGAAGCGAATATCGAAGAGTGTATCATTCGGAACTAGTATTCGAAATTTCGAATATTCGCACAACCCTACATCTAAGCACACAAAGACAACCTGTAGTTTAGCTTAGGTGTGTTTACCGCGTCGCCGCATTCAAAAGAGTCTGGCAGATGGATAGACCCATGTGGTTAATACAATCTTTAGATCCATGTGGTTGTAAAAATACAATAAATGTATAAGGAAGAAAGACAATGAAATGAAAAACATGGAGTCAAATGTTTCATTTCATTGTCAAATTTCTTTGTTATACTAGCTCTATTAACAAACCAGTTGATAGTCAGCACTTGTCATATAATTCTCTTCATAGTTTTGTCCTCATCCCAGTCGCGCTGTTTTTCAACATGAACTCTTATTAACTTGCCCAGTTATCGATCCTTAGCCCTCGCTTCATCGCGCCCTTCTTTTTCTAAAGTATGGCCATCCGTTTGAGATATATTAATGTATGAGTGATGTTTTCAAGTTCGTAACATCCTGTTCAAAGCTTCTGCAGCCTTAATTTGCAAAATCCAAATTTCTGTTCAGTCTCCCTTTAAGTCCTTATTTCAAACTCTTTTTGTTCGCGTTCCGCCATAAGAGATGCATACTGAGGGAAGGGCGTCAGAACGCATTTCTTATCGCTGCGCCGCAGTGTTAACTCTTCCGCATCATAAAGGCCGTCTGCTTTCATCGCCGTCACCATGGCAAAGAACGCCGATTTTCCAAACGCCGTCTGCTAGGCAAAGTTGAATAGCTTTGTAATGAGCAGTCGCAGAGACTGTCGCCACAAAGAGGTGCGAACACTGTCGCAGGGCGGGGGGGGTGAGAGAGAGTTAACACACTCCCCAGTGATACACGCACCGTCCGAAATGGTATTCAGCGTTTGATTGCCATGGTGACGCGGCGAGCATTTGGCCTTTTTGCTGCGAAAGAACACTGCGGCTCAGCCAAAAGTGGTCCTTCAATTTCAGCCTGGCGATCGACGTCATACGAGTGTCATGCCGTCGCCGATTACGATCCTCGCAGCGTGCCAACAGCGGTGATGGATCTTGCAGACGCCTGTTCTGCTGCAGGTCGCTCTCCAGTGTGACAGTCCACAAACGTCTGCAGTCAGAAGTTGGGATGCCGTGACAGCGACACTGCATTCCCTCGTGCTTTTCACCAGCATTTCTACGACCAACTGCCAGAATAGTAACATCCGACAGCATGACACTCCGGCTTCTGCGACGTCATCTGTTGCCACTTTAAGACCACTGTCGATGTATTGGCAGCATAGGACATTAAGCTCACCAGTCGGAGTTGTGCTCATAGTTTGGCCTTAACCATCCATTGATCTAGCTCACTAGCTCACTATTTAGCTTCTCCTGCTTTCTTTATGCAAAGCGCAAGTCCGTCTGTTGCTTGCGCAGCGGTTGCGGTGACGTCAGAATGCCGAGCTCCAATTGGCTCGATGGGAAGGATAGTGGGTAGACCTCGAGGCAACTAACATTGAGGTCTAGCCACATATGCTTCCAATCAGAGCCAATCAGAACTTGGCATTCCGACGTAACCGCAACCTGTGCACAAGAGGCAGTGAACTTGTGCTCCACATCAAGTTCCAAAAACATTGCCATACATTCCGTAATTCAGCTTTTTCGAAAATGGTTTCAGAAGTTTCGGATTTAAGACAGGTATTTGCGTTCATATTCGTAGAAAGTTTGTTTCAAGAGGTGCTGCGCCAGGCATTAAGAGCAGTCAAATACAAAAAATCATCAATGCCGTGCTTGTACTGACTGTGTCGCACGCGGTAGCACAGTGTTCGTCAGAAGTAAGGCATAACCCGATGGTATACTTTTGATTTTACAACTATCCCACGTCGACAATGAATGGCATTTGCGTACCCCCTTCTTCAAATTTTAAATTCCCAGTATAAAATTGCGTGATCGAGGCCGGACCCTGTTGACTCAATTTAACTACGGTGACCTAGACCAAGCTCCCAGAACGTTAGCTTTATGCCCCTTGAGGCTTATCTTTTGAGCCCTGGTTGGATGGAATTAGCGAGGAGAGGGAAGAAACGTCTTAGGAGGAACTTGAGGGGCAAAAAGGCGCGCAAGGGACTTTGGGGGATCCCAGTCCAGGTGACTGCAGCTGAATGAAGCCAGCATGATTTGGCTTCCTTGGCGGAGGGAGTGCCTGTGCACGCTGGAGCGTCTGCTCAGGTCTCTTCATACCAGAAGAAGAAAAAGAAAATAAGTGGTGCTATGAAGAATTTGGGTGATTTCCAAAAATGGTTCGTTCTCTGCTCTTATGGAATCGAAAAGGTCCTATAAGAAATTAGAACCGACATATATGGCAGCTGTAGCATTTTATTGTCCCCGTGTTCAGAAAGAAAAAGAAAAGGTCAGGGCTTTTTCTGAACCAACCAGACATCTTCCAAATCATGATCTGCAAAAATAGAGTACACATGTTTCAACAATAAAATGTGCCAAAGTTCTTTTGTTCAGAAAGAGATCACAGTGGTTATTTCACACCTCAATAAAAGTATCCCACGGACAACAACGCTGGGCAGTGTGGGATGAGGTTGAAAGATGGCAACATGGTTATGTGATTCCCAAATAATTCCAAAGCACAGAAAAACATGGAGTACAAAATTAGGCACGTAGATGTTTCTTCAATAAAAAAAGGACCTCCTCGGGATGGCATAATTCTAGAGCAAGGCAACACTGCACCATTATCAAATATGTAATTACAATAAATGCAAAATGCATCTAAAGAAAGCTTATAATTGAACTAAAAAATTAAATAAAAAGACGAAATATATGCATAGCACACATAATGCCGTAAGGCTATCGTTTGGGAAAAAAATAGCTTAGAAAAGCTCTAATAAAAAAATATACCATTTACTTGTCTAAGCTAGATACCCAAACTCACAGGCTTAAAAACAAGCATTGAAACCTTTTGCTTGTGACTAGAAGTCCATTTGTGGCAATGAGTAAATGATTTTAGTGATTTGGAACAGAAACTACAACCTTGCAAGAGTCACAGCATACATTTTAAATGAATGCTGCGCCATACGCAATATAAAATCTAGTACAACAAGTTCCTCGATAACCTGCCGACAACATCGAGTTGACAGAAAGAGTTAAGTATAGACAATCATAAATTGATGTGAAATAACCGGCCCTTCCAAACTGGGCTGACAAAAGCACAGGGAAATTCAACGGAAACAAGCAAAAGCCGCTTGTTGCTCAACTTTTGTTTTTACATTTTTTGCACAAAACATGATTGTTTCGAAAATTCCAGTCTCACTAGCAACACACACCGTGCATTTATTACACAGTTTTTCACATTACCTGCTTCGTAAGCATTTAATAATCGTCACAAATATTTACACTATAAACATGTATGTTGCTAATTGTTTGCTGCTGTTTTTCTTCCATTAACAACCAAAATAATATACTTCCTTTGGGAAGCCTAAAGACAAAAATGCAGTTCCTTTCTTGCAGACAACTTGACACCAATGGTATGCTGTTGCCCTCTGTAACTCTAAAACATATGGCAGCACAGTGAGGGCAAATATAAAAAAAAGGCATGAATCACCCAACATGAACTTCACAAAGCAAACTTTAAACAGAAGTCAAATATAAAGCCAAAGCCAGATCCAAAGCTAATGAAATAGATGATTGCTTTAGCATTTTCTCATTGTACCAATGAACAAACTATATTGGGTTTGGCTATGAATATGGTTCCAGAGAATGCTTTAAACTTTTAAAAATAATTATTACTTCACATGCACCTAGTAATAATTCTAAATTACTTAAACAGTTTCAGTTCTGCTGTCACCATATTTAAAATTAATGTTCATTTATTAGAAATAAGTAAAGAGGCAATGTTTCTGCAAAAACGAAAATAAAAGAAGAAAACTATATGCGATGCAAACAGACTAGAGGAAGTTTAGTGCTTGGAAAAGCGGCACAATGTCAATAAAAAAAAAATGCAGATTGCATAGTTGCTAGAATATGAAGCTTTCCAGTCCAGGAAACAGTCACTAAATTTTTTGAATGGGTCTCACAAACATATAAAATTTACGTTGTGGTCAACAATTGTTCTCAACACCATAGCCATCATCCCAGGCAGTAAAGAATAATTTTTGCAGCTTGCAGAGTGATCCACATCAAACCTAGGATTACACACAAGTTTTGAGTCGCCATTACAGTCAGTATACAATGGTCAATATCATATAGTTGTTATCAGCATAAAAAAATGTAACAAGACAACAAAATGCATGCTAGCATGATAGCTAGTGGTGTAGCAACATTGTAGCTAAACAATATACTGATGTAGACCCAATAAACACTAGCAAAGGCGACAGTCAGCACTTCAGCACTGCTGGGGTAGATGGCAGTGCAATCAATATTACAGTCACTGCCGCAGATATTGTGGTCAATATCATAGCCAATGCTGAAGCCAGCATTCAACCTAGCCGACAATGAAACCCGCATTTCGTTCAACCTGGTAGTGCACATGGATCCCACCATCACAGTCAACACTGGCCAGCATTAAGCCAACAAAGGCCCGACATTTTTTAACGTTGTAGCTCCTAGCATTAGCCAGCATCGGGGTTACGTCGTAGTGAACACAGATTGCAGCCGGCATTGAAGCCAGGATCGCATCCGAGATTAAAGTGGAACACGCGTTTGCAGGTACGGCCATCTTGCCGCTGGTGCGTGTAGATTGTCCGTTAGTCGAGCCTGGATGGATGTACGAATGGATATAGACGGCGTTGGCTACACCTTTTGCATTGAGCAGTAGCTTGCGCCACCTAGCCTGCTGTGGCCAGACTGCGGGCTAGCCTTGGTGCCTGCTCGCTGATGCCCCAACAAAGCGTTTTCCACCAACGGTGGCCAGACTAGCTCTTGAGGTGCGACTGCTCGCTCACACATGGCACCGCTTCACATCCCGGTGTTTGGGGTGACCGAGAGGCGCCTGTAGCCCGCAATGTATGGGGAGTCGCGGGGGTTTGCGCCAAAGACGGGCATCCACCCCGTGCCGCCGTCGTGCCACGGTCACGCCGTGCCGGGGGGCACCAGCTGGCTGCGAGCCGTCGAGGCGGGCTCGGGCGTGGGCGTCATGTCGCTCAGTTCTTCGACGCGGACGTAGCTGCACGGATTTATGGGGTCTGGCTTCAGGTCGCCATCTGGTGGAGGGACGGAGGTCGAGAGGTGAAGTTGGAACACGCAAGTTGGAGTCGAAAGTTAAGAATCAGTGCTCTGGTGTCGGAGGTTGGGAGTTGAAAGCTGGGCTTTGAAAGTGGTGTGTCAGAGGTTGGGGACTTGAAAGCTGGGGGTTTAAAGTAGGGAGTCGAAAATTGGGAGGCGAAAAGTTCGGACACAAAAGTTTGGAGTCGGGAGGTCAAAAGTTTGGGGTCAGAGGTTAGGAGTCGGAGGATGGGATTGAAAAGTTCGGAGTAAAACACTGGAAGTCAAAAGTTGAGGAAGTTAGGAGTCGAAAAGCTTGGAGTCTAAATTTGAGTGCTGAAAGTTAAGCGCATGTAACGTCGTGGAAAATTTCTCTGCTAGACTTAGCGGAAAACCTTCTCCGCTAAAGCTTTCCGTCACATAATGTCACGTTGATGTCACGACAATGTGACGTTAAATAATGCCATGTGACACTGACACCACTTGTTGTTAAGGCTAGTGTGAGTGTGTGGCGGGGTTTGCTGCAGTTCATTCGCAGAAGACCACAAACAACCAGGAACTTTTGTTTGTCTCTAAGACTTTGAAGTTTCATGTTTCTATCCCAGTTCAAGTTCATTTCCAACCCAGCTCGTCCAAAAGCTACCAGACCTAAAGATGTCTGGACATGCCTTCTTGGTGAAGGCTCCTGACGATTTCCAGACTTCCCCAGTCTCGATAATTCACCCCTGACAATTTGTGTTTTCTGCTTAGAAAACCTTCCCATAATGCACCTGCTAAAACAACACATGAAACATTGTATGTGGTGCTATAGTAGTTCATATCTGGGTAAGGCAAATCCACAATCAACGCAGCAACTACGAGCTCGCAACTTCAAATGCTGCCTCTGCTGCACTCAAGCCTGGCTGGATGGATAACAGTGGCTGTAACTTTTCTGTAAGCATTGCTCTCAAAGGGACGGTGCAAATATTTCTGTAATTTCACAAAATACCACATAGAATTAATCCTCCACATTCATAATACGCATGTGTGAATAGCAAATTTTGAGTTAGAGGTGAATAATTAATTAGGCCAAATATTTGCTAATTGAATATCGAATCTGCGCTTTCTTCAACCCTTTCACTACCGTGCACCAGGCTTAAATAAAAATCCAGCCGAACTTGTGAAAATCTGTTTCCAACCTTCCACTTGTACACTTCTAAGCTCAGTTAATTTTAATATAATTCTAAGAGTGGCACATAAACAACAAATTTGGTGCAGCTATCCTAATTGAGGGGATTTTTAAATTGCTCGCTTTATGCGAAAATTTCCCCTTTCATTTCAAATTTTACAACCAAAAAAATAACACACAATACACAAAGGTTGTCAAGACATCGCTGCAAAACATATACTCTCGCATAACCACGGCGGGTTAGCGCCACCAAGCAACTGTGCGCTGCGGGGAAGCAATCCCAGCAGAGCCCTAAAGCACCATGGGCATTGCTTCCACACAGTGCACAAATGCCGGGTGGGAAGCGCACTCGACGGTGCTCACCCGCCGCAATCAACGCTTCGAAAAATATGAACAGTACCGCAGTTCCTCTCGAGGAAATGTCAAATGGCGTATTATCATTCTAAACTATACTATTAGAAAATATGTGCATCAGAACTACTTCTCAACATCATGAACTCGTTTCTCCCAGCTTTTTTCGCACGTTCACCGGGTCGGGCATAGAGCTGTCGGCAGAGCTTACCCGGAGATTTCCGCCTGCCTGGCAAGACGACAAAGAGGGAGAGGCCGACGAGGGCGTGCCAGGCGCTGTGCACGTAGGCGTAGTTGCGCCGCGTCTCGAAGCCCGTGTACAGCACGACGCCGATGACCGCCAGCGCAGCTCCCGGCACGATGCTGAGCAGCCAGATCTTGGAGCGCGGGAAGCAGGATCTTCGCACGAAGCACTGCCGCATCTAGACGAAGAAAGACGGAGCGGATGTGACTACGTTAACGTTGTTCACCGAGGCAGAGATGTTCGTTGGTTTGACGTTGTGCGAATTAGTATGAACCCGAAAGAAACAAGCACCAGAAAATGGCGGCAACAGAGGCAGGATTCAACGCTGGCGACGGGGGATTGGGCCGTCTTGTTCCCGGGCAAACCGTGGGACTCTGGGCTGCTGAGGAACTTCGGGGAGGTGTTGAGAGGCGAAATATTGGCTCAGAAAGAAGACGGCAATGAATTTCTGCTGTGAGCTGAAGCTACATATGTAATGCCTCTGATCGTACATGCAATGCATGCTTCCTTCGTATTTAACGGTTCGCCAAGAATTAGAATTCACTACCGCAACATGTTATCCCGAGTGGACACCACCTTAAAATTGCAAGTTTTGAGAAAAACAAATACTTTTCTCATTTTTATGTATTGTGGTTCCACAACAAATAGTGCACACCCCTGCAAATTTTTATTGCAATATCTGAAATCCGGGAAAGAAAGACTGGATTTCCCAAATCCGGGAGAGGGCCAACGAAAGGAGCTTACCCAAGACACGAAGACGAGCGTGAGGCCGAAGGCAACGGGCAGCGCGATGACGATCAGCCCCATCCTGTCGTTCTCGACAGCAATGGCGATGCAGAGGACGCCGAACGTCGACACCAGGGTACGCGCGGGTGCCGAGAGGTCGGCCAGGCAGAGCAGGGTCACCCAGAGGGACACCGTTGCCGTCAGGAAGTCGCAGTACTGGAGGACGCTTGGGCGCAGCACGCAGATCACCGAGAGGTCCGCGTCACAGGCGTGGTAGAACTGCGTGAGAAAACCATGTGGAATTTGTGAAGCTGCGGTTCACGCGCTTGCGACTGCTTAAGACCAACTGCGTCCCTTCCGATCTCTTACGATGAGAGAGCCATATATGCCGAGAGTTTGGCGGAAGGGTGGATCTTATGACCCGCTACATCCAGCTAGAACGACCTGGCCTCGCGATAATAAAAGACAGAGATATTTTCCCGCTTCACCACTCCCCTTTGAGGGAGTCTACTTAAATTTGCAGTTACAAGTAGCGTCATGAAAACATTTCTCCTTCGTTGGTATTCCGCTACGCCTAGCTGTAATTGGTCGTTGCAATTAAAGATTACTCGCTTTTTATCAATTTCCTATATCAAAACTTTTAAATATGGTTTTTATTGTTTGTTGTATAACAAACGCATGCTTTCTCGAACAAAAATAAAAAAAGTCGGACAACTGAGAGTGCGGGTTTTCAGTTTCCGAGTAGCAAACGCCTTCCGTGGTGTTGATTGCGGCGGTGGTGGGAATATAGAAAAGTAATTTTCTAGTCAAGGAAAGGAAATGAAAGGCAGTAATATTTTTGGAGATCGTTGTATATAAGGAAGGGTGAACAATTGATTGCGTGGAAAGAGCCAAAGGCGCTCGCGTTAACGAGAGACGTTTTCAGTGCTCCGACATGTCATTGCAGACGTACGGTGGCTAATCTATAGTCGGTCACGATTTAGGAATGCAATATGGCGGGGGGAAACATCTGGTTACCAGATCTCTGGTCGCAGTTGCTAGACCGTCGGCATGATTCATGGACGAGAATGCGCAGCGCAAGTTCGTCTGCTTCTTGCGCAAGGTTTGCGAGGATGTCAGAACACTGAGCTCTCATTGACTGATCGGAAAAAAATAGTGGGTAGACCTCGAGGCATCTAGCAGTGAAATCTACCCACTACCCTTTCGATCAAAGCCAACCAGAACTCGGCGTCACTAGGTAACCGCAACTCCTGTACGAGAGGCAGCTGACTTGCTCTCCACACGCACTGGCGCCATCTATCAAGTGGCCGCGAAACACTTGGCATTTCCGTATATTTCCTATTTTTTTGCGCATCATTCTTTCCTTCTTGGCAGAAAAAACCTCTGACAATGTTACAAACGACCATAAATGATGTGTGCATTCAATCTCACAAATAGTGCAAAACCTTCGCTCTGTAAACTGCAGTTCCGGGGTCATCTCGTGGATGGCGCCGGCGTGCCGACGTGTCCCCTCGTCGTAAGAGGGCACGAGAACACAGTCGTAAGCGAGCGAGAGTGCGCGGACGGGTCGCGAAAACAAAGGGGGAGGAATCCTCACCGCGGAAGAGAACATGGTGGCCGTGTAGACGAGCGCTTCCAAGAAGTGGCGCCGAATGACCGCCAAGAGGATGGCGGGGAGAAAGAACAGGTTGCTCAGCGTGAGCAACAGCAGTTCAATCAGCATGTGGTTGTAACTCTGGGCCTCCGTGCTGTCGGTGCAGCCCCAGCCCCGATAACCTGTAAACGCCGAAGGACAAAAAAACAAAACATTTTTTTTTCTTACTAATCACTTTCCGTCATATTCTTTATTACTCTTCAAGCCATCAGCAGATGCGCATTAACAAATATGATAGCGCGAGATTAGAGTGAAACTTCAGTGTCACCCGTTTATCCTCTATGTTATTATGATACGTCCACGGAAATAATTAATTTCACACCTTCGTGTTAAATAACGCTGCATTTTAATTATACAGATTAGTGCTGCGTGGGTAAACTTGGGCCATCATCCTAATCCCAAACTGTCGCCATAATGCATAAAACATCGCTCAACTGAATCAGCACTGTTAGTACAAAAACAACAAATCATAGAATGTCTTGAGAATAAAGAATTCATCATGGGTGTGTATACTGACTTCTCCGAAGCGTTTGATATAAATAATCACAAAATTTTGTTCATGAAGCTAGAAAGCTACGGTATACATGGAACTGCTCTACACCTATTTAAGTTATACCTACAGTACCATGTGCAGTTCGTTAATAATAATTACTATATTTCAACCATTAAAATATTGGAACTGTTGTACCTCAGGGTAGTGTGCTCAGGCCACTCTTGCTTATGATCGTCGTAAATGACGTTGAAAATTGCGTACCGCACGCAAATCTTGTGTCTTATGCCAATGATACGACTATTTTTATTAAAGGTGGCTCAGCAGACGACATAGAAAGGAAAGCAATGGGAGTTATTTCAAGCATTGACTCGTGAACCAAAGTAAATGGACTAAAAATAAATTCTGAAAAGACTATGTGCGCTATTTCGACCTCGAAGTAGAAAAATATCTTATTCGTTTCAAATAACCTTAGACTCATCGACACTAGAGGTGGTAAAGTCGGTAAAAACACTGGGTGTACTTTTCATTGAATCATTATCATGGAATCAGCCCAGCCATGTCCATACAAAAGCTAGTAAATCTATTGACCTCCTTTGTAGAAACTGTTATGTCTTTCCAACAGGTGTAAAATTACTTTTATATTACTCTTTGGTTCATACTCACTATGTACTATATTGTCATTTAGTTTGGGGCCAAACAACAAAACATAACTTTACAAGACTACTACTAACCCAAAAGAGGGCTATTCGAATGGTTTCAAATGCTTCTTTTTTGCATCCTTCCAAGGAACTTGTTTTAAAGCACCGTGTAATTCCTATTGAACAGCTGCACAAGTTTCGGTTGTTGGTGACTTATAATGTAGCCTTAAAACACAATACTTTTTCATTTTTGCACTGTCATGTTTAACTAAGTTAGATCATAAATACGTTACCCGCCATGGCGAGACCTGGAATGTTTCAACACCCTGTACTAATTATGGTTTTACATTACTAATTATGTGTTGCCATCTTTATTAAATGAACTTGAAGCAAATGATGCGTGTATGTTTGGAAAGTCAAATCGAATATGTTAGCGAACATACTACTACAATCTCACTTTCTATACAATACTGTGTAGTGTCACGCATGTGTTGTAACATTGTTTCCACCAGAAGATGATTATTATTATTATTACTATGTCGTGCTGAATGACCGGCTGCCTGGCTGGTCGGCATAACGCTCACCTGAGCTGCAGTAGCAGCTGCTGAAGATAATTCCGCCGCTGATGTACTGGAAGCAACGGCCAAAGAGGCCGCACTTTTGATTCAGGCACGCCGACGAGTTGATGCTCAGTTCCACGGACAGCGACTCGTATTCGCACGGGACCCAGTCTGGCACGCTGTAAAAGGGACACAGCAGAGTTTTGTGACCCTGCGTCCTTCGCTATACTGCTACCTATCCAGTCGTCTGCTAATCGATCTGACCAGAAAAGCACCGGGGTTATTAGACACTCGCTAAACTTCAAGGAGAAATTGAAAAAAATCAGATATGCATAGTGCAGTCTTGTTTCACCGATTACCAAAAAATATGTTCCCATATGTTACAATTAGTGACCAACCCACTACCTTTAAAACATTTGAAAACTAGGCAAGAGAACGTATCAAGTGGCCCCTTCCCAGACATCTGAGCCCACCAACTGAGATGCTCGCTTTCCTGAGAACTCCTGTGCGAAGCGGAGAAGCCTACCCTATCATCTGTCCCTTCTGCATTTCTGCCCCTGGATACCTAAAAAAAGCACTTCTCTCCCAGTTTTTCAAGATAATCTCCAAAATTTGAGAGGGTGATTGCTCGTTATTTTACGGTAGATCTACAAATACAGCATCACACTGACATTCACTGATTTTAGTGTCCAGTGGTTTTGATTCCCCGCGATTTAAAAGTAAAGATGCACGCATGGTAACACTTAATCACACGCAACTAAAGAGAACTCTTTTACAGTAGCCGGACTAGCACTGGTACATTTAGTTCATCATTGATGCTTTCTTTAACATTCCAACAGAAAACACAATCATCTCTTCTCCCAATACATACTTGAGCTTGTCCTCGCTGACCACGGGCTTTATGCACCTCCTCCATTGCGTTAAGGCCCATTCACGCAGAAACATACTGTTTACACTTTTTAATGTTACGTTACGATACAATTACAAGTCGCCAGGACATTAGCGCTCTGCAAGTCACGAGCCAAGCTACTGTTTACACTAATTTCCAAAAAATAAACTGAAAAAAAAATTTTTGTTTTTTCTGGTGTGTGGGGTTTTGTTTAATGACCTGCAAAATTGTCTCCTGCTGGGCAGAAGATCTGTTCCCAGTTTGCTTCTCTCTATTCCCTCTCGCGCACTTCTCTCCTTCTCTCCCCACAGGACCGGGTCTCCGAGGTACTCCTTGCAGAAAGAAGGAGGGTCTCCCCCTTTCCCAAATGAAAATGATCTTAAATGAAAAGAATTGAGGGAGAGTCTCCTCCTTTCTGGCTGCTTACACATAGGCCTTTAACAAGAAATGGTTTGGGAGTTCAGCATGTTTCTTTAACTTGTCAGCAATGTTGCCAGAACAACTTTGTCGGAAAAGTCGCCCTTGCGTCCATCGAACCGAGATACCAGAAGCCGTAGTCGATTGAAGTGCCGCCCCTTGGCAATCGATCCGTTCCTTTAGTTTGGTTCTAGTTCATTTGTTAAGTTGGTGGTACATAATCAGTATTAAGACGAGGGGGTGAGCAAAAGTTCCCTTCATAAACAAAGGTTAGATTCCTTTTTCGTTGTCCGTTCCGGCACGTATACCAGTTACCGGAGTGGCTGCTGTGGCAGAAATCGTGACGCTACAATCTCGTCAAGCTCGGCGCCGAAGTAAGGTTGGAACCAGTTCTACGCAGCAGGCTCCTATGGCAGTTTCCCGACTGACTTGTTTTAGAACGATGCCTACGTCTCCGACCGGTGCGTTTAGTGTCCCATCCCGCGGATGCATCGAAAGTGGTACCGAATCGGCAGCGGACGACGTCGCAGAAGCAGGAGTGTTCTGCTGTTGAACGTCACAATCTTAACGGTCAGTTCGCAGGAATGCCGGCAAAAAGCACGAGCTTACGCGAGTGTCGCCGTCGTTAACGCGTTTCAACTTCCAGCTGCTGCAGCTTCCGTGGACATCGTTACGACCGCAGCGGACACCGCGTCTTTCGTACGACACCGGCTTTACGACGTCGTCGGGTGGAAATCGAGAGAGACCACTTTTTAGGACGGTGCACCGGTCGGAGGTGCGTTCCAGACACCATATGGTTCTGGTAACGTCGGCGGTAACCGCGGTACACCGGTCGTCGCCGACTCGCCTCGCGTTCCGTCGGTCCTCCAGGTAGCAGAGGGGCAGCAGGCCGAGGTACCAGAGGCCCGCCTCCGGATAGGGCAGGTGGATCTCGGCGGTCGCGGAGCCCACCGAGCTGGTGTTGACCGCAAAGGTGCTGCCCCAGTCCCAGTCCCGCTCGTCGTGCCTCAGCCGGGGTCGAGACCCGTACGTGAGAACCGCACGCACGGTGATGTTGTTCAGCAGGGCCTCCTGTTAAAGAGAGTGTACGCGATGATCGAAACCGGGGTTGCCTGTTTTCGGGGTTTATCTTTTTTTCCACAGATTCCACGGCTTTCCGGTGTCAATTTTGAATGTCGAACAAAATGATGACACCTGTTGGAGCTATAGTCTTTGAACTGTCTACTAATGATATCATCTTAGTCGATTTTAGGTTCATCTAATATGCCAGCGTACATAAATATAATAAGAACTGTATAATACAAACGACGAGAAAATCAACTATAGTCACCGACTACAGTTGATCGCTGTCAACCACCATCGCCACGCTTTGGCAGCACATGTGCGCTCAAGGTGCACGCGACGCCTCAGTGTTGCTGAAGGTGGGAAGGAAACAACTGAAGCTTCTGCCCGTTATATTCGTCTCGTCACTAATTACATAGATATAACAAATAAACATATATAACTGATGTTTCACAGACTTGTCGGCTGCAAATATCTTACCTGTTCGGGAGCGTGGAGTCTGAGCGTGATGGAAAGGGTGCCTCCGGTGTCTACAACGGGAAACACCCGGAACGTGATGAGAGTCGGCTCGGAATGGCTCAAGTTGAGGCTCGAGCTGAAGTTGGAGTCGGAGTGATTTAGCCGGTAGCCGTACTCAAATGCACCTGGCATGTTCACGTGCTGTCAAAAAAGAAAAGGACGACAACGTTTCCAGACGTGCCCCACTGCCATCGTTCTGCTTGCCCCCCTACTGGACCTCTTGTACACCTGAACTGTGACGGGTTCGAATCTGTCGATTTTTCATGTAACCGCTATCGTTCATTGGACATGCAATATTTCATAGCCGTGCATGTTTCTAGTCGAAGAAAGTGTAAATATCCAACATTGGAGGGTTCAGAAATTCGAGCAGCTGTAGATCCTGGTTGACCCGAATTAAACTGCTGATTGAGAGTTTACCGCTAAGTTTTGAACAAATTATTGGTTAAGATTAACTGACTTAGACGACAATGCAGAGCGCCTACCTCCATCTTCTCGAGGAACGGAATGCAGCTATTGTCCATACACAATTCTAGCACGGCACCACCCTCCGGGAAAAGTTACGGTGATCCAGAACTAAGAACACAGTTCCATGCAGATGAACTTCCTGACAGTCAAAAGTGTGGCTATGAAGGTTATAGATGGGCTGTTTGTTTACCTTCAAAGTGCACTTTTTACTACCAATAGATGAAGTTCTAGAAATATTGTATTTTACTTTATTAGTTACTTTAACAGCTGTATATGTAGTTAGTTTTTATGTCCTCTGAGAGCTTGTCTTCGTACAACAAACTAGGGGGAGCAAGGGGTCTGTCAAGCAGCTAGGAGCTGCTTAACAGATGTTTGAGAGTCTGTACCGTCGAAGTTGGCACAACTGTGCCCCAGAGTTGCAAGCAAGAACGGCAATCAGTATGCATGCGCAGTCAAACATAGAAAGAAATATATGAAATGAGCTGTAGCTGTTTTTTATAAGATACCGTGGACTTGTGGACGAGCGTACATCGGCCAAACAGAAAGATATGTGAACACGAGAATGAGAGAGCATGACCCTCCGGTCGACTGCGGGGGCCATTTTCCTCACCACTGCGCAGATTGCGAGTGTTGCCCTGACTCTGATGACGTAACCATCATCGAAAGGGGTGGGGATGTGAAGGCCAGAGAGATTCTGGGAGCTTACGCCATCCAAAAAGAAGGGGAGGACCGATATGTCAGCCAAACATCGCTCCATTTACATTAGAAGGAGATTGCCTTCCTTGACGTGCGTTGATCAACAATGATCGTGTGGTTTGTTTTTGTGGGTTTTTTGCCGTTGTTAATATTTTGTGTTCTTTTGGTGAAATGTTTCAGTTTAGAGTCAGCGCTCGTCCCGTGTCCTTCTACTTACTCTGTGTTCTCGTCTTTTGCGTGCCGTGTAACAATTTTTGAAGATATGACTGTCTGACTAATTGATCAACTGATCAATTGAAAGATTGCTCGAATGATTGCTTGAAGTTCAGATAAGGGCTTACCATGAGCTCGTAGGAGGGCCAGCAAGTGTCCGGCACATCTGGCGGCTCGAGGTACTCGCTCAAGACGGATTTTAGAACGCTTGCATTCGCCGAAAGAATTTTCTCCAAGATGTCTATTTTTCCTTCAGGCTTTCTCTTCAGCTTTGCAGCAGACCTGGACTCTTCGAAGGACTTGCAGTCTGTTAAAGACACCAGACTTTCAGTTCCCCACTCTTCCCCAGGTGAAAATCAGTCCACTTCCAGCTGGATTCTGGAACTGGAAATGAGGCAGTCCAGCTGGATTCCAGCTAAACCCAGCTGGACCCAGCTGGACACAGCTGGACCCAGCTGGAATCCAGCTGGACTGCCTCATTTTCAGTTCCATAGTCCAGCTGGAAGTGGGCCGAGCGAATTGCACTGGGTTCTTGCAGCTCGGTAGCAGTGGAGAAAACTGTTTAGAACATTAAATGTTATCTGTTCATTCTTATTCGCCAGCTTCCTTCCCTAAGAGCCAACTGTCTCGAGCATTAAATGTTATTTTAGCATTCTCATTTGCCTGTTTTTTTCCGTAAATTAGGACGATTGGCCCCGGAGTGCCAGACAGAAAGGAAAGTGGTAAGTTTGAATGTCTATAGTGGTCAGACTTTAGTATGATACTCGGATGCCGAGAGAGCAAGAGCATTATTACAGTAAAAAACTGACTAGGAATGTTACATATGTAACAAGAAAACAGTAAAAGCCATAGAAGAAAGGCGCAGTACTCGGGGTGACCAGATGACCCCACGGCCAGTCATAATCCTTGATGTGGCTCAGTGAAGTTGTCCTGAGCAACTAATCTTAGTTCTACTGACTGTCCTGCTTTAGCAAACCTTCTAACCATTGCATTTGAGTGGGGCACTCATACAGTAGACTCCAGTGACTTAGGCAGGGGGGTAATTTGGGGGTGTCAAGCCCTCCGTCCTGCCACCCTTCCCTCCCCCCTCCCCTCTCCTCTCCTTTCCTCTCCTCCCCTCCCCTCTCCCCCCCAAAAATCATTACTTTCTTCTTTTTTTTTTTTTGTAAAGGAAAACAAATATTGAACAACTACCGAATTGTTTTAGTCAGTCGGGGGGCTGAAGACGGTCATGTCAGTATCCAGGAATTAAACAGTACAGTGACTACTACATGCGAAAATGGGACAGAGTACCCCCGCCTCCCCCTGGTCATAAAAATTCCCCCCCCCCCCCCCCCGCCAGCCCGCCCGCCCGCCCGCCCGCCCGCCCGCCCGCCCCCCGAAAATAATTCCTAGCTATGACACTTGTAGACTCACTAATTTAAACTCTCTGGAAGCCACAAATTTTGTTTGAATTATCAAAAATTCATCTGAATATGATGCAAGATAAAATTATGATTTGTCATATGAATGGTTACACATACAAAGCAGATATTTGATGATTTCCTCTACACAGGCCTACTGATCATAATCACGTATGGCACACATAAAACATTTCTGAAATGTATGACGTAACTTTATTTATCCCTCAAAAATGCTGCTTATTGTCGACTGCTTAGACAGCACATGACAACTCAAAACAAAATTAAGTTTGTTCATTGGGCCAAGAAGTTATCTAATGTGAACAATTAAGCAAGGGGACACAATGAAAACGGGCACCGTGCGGCAATTTTAATAGCAACTTTCCCAGATGCTGTGACGTGGACCTATGCCATGCTGCCATGTCACAGCGTCCGCGCAAGTTGCTATGGCAATTTCAGAGTGTTAACCGTTTTCATAGCTCATGTGTGCCCTACTTCAGAGCAGTACACATAGAGAGTTTGGCCATACATTGGGAAGTGTAGGAGGCAAATAAGGAGGCACCATTGGTCAAAAGCGGGCTGGGCGTGCTCCAAGGCATCTCCACAAATTCAAATGTGGCCAGCCAGAAGCCACAAATAATACCCTGGTGGTGGTCGCGAGAAACAAAATCGATAAGTGCGCCGAAATAACTCTCGGTGACTGAAAATATGGTGCACCTGATTTTTCAATCACAACCATGCAAAATAAAAATCTAGCAGAACGATATACGTAATCCGTGCGACCGGGCTGGAAATCTGCCATCCAAATGGTCAGACTCTGTCTGAGCAAAACAGAGTTTGAGCGGCACATTCGATTCTTACATCTTTTTGTACGATCATAATCAAAGTATCACAAGCAGCATATTTTCAACCACGAAGAGTTACCACATTTAACTCTTACCGCTTATTAAAACTGTTCTTCATTACCACTGGTAGGCGATTATTTCTGGCTCCTGGTTGGGAAAGAGAGTATGCCAAGCCCTCTCTCTGCGTTTGGCGCACGCCCTGGCTCTGCCGCTCCTTCCATTGACTAATCTCTTCCTATATACGACTCTGCTCTGCTTGAGCTCCTTTGAGTGCGCTTCTCACCAAGCACCGGTGCACTGCGAAGAAGCGATACCTGCAGGAGCATGCTCCGTGGGTGCTGTCTCCTTGCAGTGCACCGATGTTCGGAAAGAAGCGCCCTCAATGGGATCGCAAGAACAAAAAGTATGAATTACACGAAAAGCTGTTCGAATTAAAAGAGGATTATAAATACATTAAAAACATAGCGGGACAGCAAAAATTTCGAAATTTGTTTGAATTAACCGGAAGTACGAAATATCCGAGTTGAAATTATTGCGAGCCTATTTATAGCATTATGTTTGTGCACTTAGCGGTATGCGCCAACAAATAAGCACTAAACACAACATGCATCCGTAAGGCTTTTCTGCTTTGAACGAGCATGCTAAGAGAAGCAGCTGACGCGGAGGGGCGTGTTCGACAGCTCAAGTGGACTCGGAAGTACGCCGGGTGGGTGCTTGGTACATGCTGTGCGTGTCTTTGGAATGCTTCTAAGTAGGGGATGGGCCCTTATTGAGACACGGGTGCATGCTCGGTATTTCACAGTTAACAAATCGGCCGTGACCAGCTGGAAAGGACCAAGAAAAGAGACGCATACCCATGGCTGTCAAGAGGAGCTTGAACTCCACAGGTCCCCCGACGGGCTCCACGAGAAGATAGCTCCACTCTCCTGGCTCAGGGGCCATCGACCCTTGGCAGGGGTCAGCGCTGCAGTTGATCGCAGTTGTGCGTCGCTCCACCTCGAGGTCCACTTCCTCGTCCAGCACCGGGGCCACCCCTGAGGTGGCTTTGAGTGCCAGGGGACACTGTCCCACAGCGGACAAAGTGCTTGTCTGCTTGCACTCCGTCACGGTCAGGTTCACGCTCCAGGCTTCGTGCGGTGCCGAAAACCTAGGCAGAAGCGGGTCACGGTTGTCTCCGAAGAGTTTCACGAGTCGTTTACCGCTATACTTTAGCAAAAATGCTGTTCTGAATCGAGATTTTTCCGCACAAAATTCGCTGACTGAGCGCAGGCTTCCCGCAACTGTCCCCATGTTTTTTCTTCGGTCATGCGTAATGACCATGCGTTGCTTCAAATATTTGTAGATATTTAATAAGCCATCCAAGGCCAATCTATATACCCTCATTTCATGTCCATCCAAAACTGCCTTGAATGAAGGAAAAACTTGCTAGTCACGGAGAGTGCATGAATCCTACAGTTTTTCGGAAGTCATATTCTTCTGGACTGTTTTCTGGTTGCAATAAGACTTTGCTTATTTTCTACACAAACTGCACTACCCCCCGTGAAAAACTTAATTGCATTCTGTTTACAGACCACATTCCAGCACTTTGCATAACAAATAAATTATTTTAGGAGGTAAGCTTTTAACTCTTTCACAGAAACTTCCTTCGGGTGTTAAATTTAAAATGACAAACAGAAACATGGAACCAAAAACGCCTTACATCACACCAGCAGTGATGTGATTGGTCCGAGCCGTTTTGGAGCACTTTTTGGAGCAGTTAAAAGTCCATTTCGGAGCAGCTAGAAGTCCACTTTGGAGCATGAGCGCACAATTCATTTTCATTCCAACCACTGCAAATATTATATATTAAAAGAGTCATGTGTTAGCCTGTTCATGAAAAGACATTGTCTACTTTGCCTTTTCATTTCTGTGCAACCTTTTGCTAGCTTCAATTGCACAGTCAAGTTTGATTCCCTCAAAAGCCTCAAACACAGAGCTAACAAGCTTTTCAGTTGCACAATGCAGAGTGACAAAAGACCGTACAAACTGCTGTGAATGGTTAATTTAGGAAATTGGGCCGAAGGTAAGCCAAAGTATATTCCACAAAAATAGCGAAGGGGCAGAATAATATTGAGCACAGAAATTGATATTTCATCGAAATCCTAAAGGCTGTAATAATACTGCAATTATACAATGTAAAAAAAAGGTTTTTGTCATTTGATTAATAACATTATTTACATTTTATATGTAGAACTTTGTGATAACAGAAACCGGCAAGTGAATGATAAAAAAAATCGTTCAGCCTTTCCACTCTTGTGAAGAAGGAAGACCAGCGGAGCTGCACTTGATACACTGTGTGCTTCTTCTTTGTCGTCGTCTGTTTTTCGCGCCGTTTCTTATGATGAATTCCCACTAATGCGCCCAACTATCCATTCTTCTATTATAGCTGGAAAGGTTGCCGCCATCTACAAGCGACGGCGGAAACCATACTGGCTGTGTGCTTGTTGCCGTCGCTTATAGATGGCGGTAGCTGTCCAGGCAGGTTTGTGTCGACATACACGGACACGATCCTGGGGAACCTAGCCTTTAACAGCTCCGCTGTAATAAGTCTTAGAAATGATCCAGTTAAACTCATTAAGGTTATTCCCAAGTTTCCTATTTCTGCTCTGGCTAATTTGATTAGTTTTAATTAACTCCGTTCACTGCAGCATTGCACCCAAGGTGATGACTACGTAAGAGTTAACATAAAAATATAAGCTGCCTATATAAATCTCCTTGCAATACACAAGTATCCTTGCCTTAATCATGAGTTTGAAAAAAAAAATCATCCGGATACACTAGCTGCAGTCTTATGCAGGAATTTTTACTGCAAAGCAGTTATTATATCAGCCTCTATGAACTTTTAGAGCGCAGCTCTTAGGGGCCCGTTCCCGGCTTGAGCGGCGTCGCCGTCGGCGTCGGCGTCGCCGTCGCCGTCGGCGTAACCAAGGTCATCCCAAGGTCACGTGACCCCCAAGGTCATCTCAAGGTCACGTGACCCCTCGAGGTCACGTGACCCCTTCCAAGGTCATCTCAAGGTCATGTGACCCCAAGATGACCCCACGTGACCCTTTGAAGGTCACGTGACCCCCAAGTCACGTGACCCCTCTGAGGTCACGTGACCCCCGAGGTCACGTGGTCGCCTCCCCAAGGTCACGTGACCCCTTCCAATGTCATCTCAAGGTCACGTGACCCCACGTGACCCCCAGGTCACGTGACCCCTCTGAGGTCACGTGACCCCTCTGAGGTCACGTGACCCCTCTGAGGTCACGTGACCCCAAGGTCACGTGGGGGTCACCTTTGGGGTCACGTGGCCTTGAGGTCACCCCCAGGTCACGCCTCCCCGAGGTCACGTGACCCCCTCCCCGAAGTCACGTGACACCCCCCCCGGAGCATATTAAAGAATGAGGGGAGGAGGAGGAGAAGGGGGAGGGGTCTACCCTCCCCTCAGTACCCTTCACTCCTCCTCCTCAAGAGCTGCGCTCCAATTCGGCGTTACAGGGATTTGTAAACGGCTTTCACTTTTTTTATTTTATTTTTTTATATTTGAAGCACTTCAGCTTTAGGGAAAGCACGCAGCTGGGCTGCGGCAAAACAAAATACGAAAAATCACGACGCCGAATCCATGGTTCTCGCTTCACTGCAGTGCATCAGTGCTCAGTGAGAAGCGCACTCTATGGAGCTACCTAACCCACCAGAACAGACTCTCAACACGAGAAATATTGCGCGACTTCCAAGTACTGTCAGCGTCTGATACAGATATCCAATCGAGTAGTACGTTAATTAAGGCAATCATCGAAAGTTCTCAAATTTGGACAAGCCTATCGTAACAATGTGGCGTGTAGCTAATATGTTTTCAGTATTATTAAAGTGAAATATCACGTTTTGGCGCAATGTTGGCGCAAATCCATCACATTTTGGCAAAATGTAGCCCAATGTAGCAGGGCAAGCACTTTGGCGCAAACGACGCAGCAATCACATCGCTGCACCAGCAACTACTGTGGAAGGGGGGGCTAGGTGGCATGCATTCCAGCAAGTACCGCGACTCAATATAGTGGCAGGTTCCCAACTCCAAAAACTAAGGTATTTTATCTCCGTTGCATTTGCGAGCAAAGATGCGAGCAAAGAAATACAATAAAATACCGGGGGAGCACCTCACCCACTTTCACTGAAAACTGGGTTAATTTAGACATGGGCACTTGTCTAGTCAAATCAGGCGCATAACATACAATTTACAGAATTCCGAAGTTTTGGAAACATTAAAAGTGGGTGCATGAACGAAGTGGGTGCTTCCGCGGCATTTTATGGTGTAACCTCGAACCTCGAAAGACTGTAGGCATAGCGGGATTTGTCACCTAAGAAGAATTTAGTGCCCTGGTACCTAAAGTAGGTGGGTTGAGCAACACGGTGGGCGGTGGACTGATTCAGCAGCAGATCGGTGACTCCATCCAGCTGGTAGGTGGAAAGAGTGCTAGACAGGAACACCTTACATGGCGCAAACAGGTCCTGCACATAAAAATATGGAACTGTTCAGGATCGCAGTATGATGTGGCTTACATGTCAAAAAGAAGAGGATAATGCGAAAATTTCTGTAGAGTAGTGAAACTGGCCCATTACGAATAAACCTCACGGTAAAGAAAGGTAGCCATGTTTTGATCTATCGATCGAATAGTCACATGCAGGAATGCAGTATATAAGAAACGGTGGGTTTTCGCAACACTTTTTTTATTGGCAGGCTTCGGTGAATTACGTGACGCCATGGTGTTAAGGGGGCACTAAACCGCTTTCTGGGAATCCTAAAATACCAAATATACATTCACACAAGGCCGATTTCTCTATTAAATAGTATCGAAGATTGGTTATCTCGGAATTATAGCAGGCACCAGGGGACGCTGTCGGACGAGGAGGAACCCCTTTTCTCGTCCGATGGTGCCCTCCGCTGTCTGCGAAGATTCCGAGGTAACTGATCTGTGATACCAATCTTAATAGAAAAAATCGGCCACGCGTGAATGTAATGTTTGTTTTTTTAGGATGCTTAGAGCCCATAGACTGAGTTTTGATCATAAATAGACTATCGTAGAAAGTGGTTAAGAACCCCTTTAACTGACGTCACGTGGCACAGCATCATGACACCATCATGTCACGCAACGTGGGCACGTGACTCATGGCGCCAAGTTGTGGTGTCGCGTAATGTAACTAATGTCGCGCGATGCCACGTCATGTGACACGGTGGTCATTTGACGGCACGACTTCGCACGGTGAGCCACGCAAACAATGTACGTAGAAAAAATCCGAGTTACCTTCCATCAAGAATATCGCTGTTCTAGATCGATAAAGAGCTGCTAAGGTGCCAAATGTTGTAGCTAGACCATACGTCTCCCACCTTCTGCACAATGCGCTGGTGCGGATCGAGCGTGAAGGCAGCGCCGAACCACTGGCCCGGGTCGGGCGAGGTCACGTTGATGAAGTGGTCCGTGGAGTCCGTGTCTAGAACGATGCTCCGCAGGCGCTGGCGTTGGGTAACAAAGTTGTCGGGAAACGTGGCGTTCAGGGGGCTCAGCACAGGAAGCCCACCATACTGCAGGTATCTGCGGAAATCAATGAGAAAAATAGGTGTCTGTTGGTGCAATTAAAACTTGACAAGTTTGCTGCTCATTGGAGGTCAGGTACGCGCTTTTTGACGTATATTTTGGGAGCGAAATTGTGAATTCTTCCGCGCTTATTTTCGTGTACAGAAGCGTTCGTGAGATGTTCAGGTATGAGTGTGGACGTGACAGGTGTGGTGCTTCGGTTCAAAGCGAGGTGCACGTTTGTTTGTCCTACTTGCGAGGTTGCAATGAGTTACCTAAGTAAAGTTGAGGGCAGGTCCACAGTTCTCTCGCAGCAAAAATATGTCTCGGAGGCTTTACAAACAAAACCAGTGCCGGCCAAACTTCTTTTTCAAGCACATCCGCATTCTTCCAGGCAGGGGTGGGGGAAAATCACATGCTCAAAGCTACGGCGGCACTCTGCTTCATAAAACGAGCGGCGTGCTCCAGGCTTTCTGCAGAGTACCCAATAGTGTAAGAGAAAGCTACTGAAAAGCAGAGAGAAAAAATGTTTTGCCAATTGCCCCGCAACTGTGTTGTTACGTGAAATGTTCTTGATTTAGTGCTAGTAGCCTCCAGGCATTTCTTCTTGAGCCTCCAGGCCTCTTCTCTCCACCCCATTGACCCTCCCCGTCAGGTTCGGCCCGTGTCCACAGGGTATGGGGAAACTGAATTTATCTGTAGGTCATGTGACATCAATTTTTCCGCTAAATTTAGTGGGGAAACGGAATTTGTGCTGTGATCACGTGACGTCAATGTTCTCGCAAAATCTCGCGGGGAAACTGAATTTGCGTATAGGTCAAGCGACCATGTCACGTGACGTCAATTTTTTCGCTAAATTTAGCGGGGAAACTAATTTTGTGTATTGATGACATGACATATGAAGCCACGTGACGTCAATTTCCCCGCTAAATTTAGCGGGAAAATTTGTAGTTACGCTTTTTGAGGCTTCACTTCACTGAAAACCTAGCAGCTATAAATGTTTTGCGTTAAAAAAAAAGTGCTCACTTTGTCGCGATGGTAGCAACGGGTCAAGGTATTCTTTTTTGCCTCGAGCTGACACCGGAGCTCCGCTCGGCGCTGCAGTGTTCGGATTGGTTCGTTTTTCCCACGCTCCGTCTACCGCGTCTCGCCCCAACGTGCTCGGAGAAAGTTGCATTTCCATTGCCACCGTAGAAGATGGAACCTGGCTACCGTTTCTCCACACTAACACACAGGGGCGGATGCAGGAATTTCCTGAGGGGGGGGTTCAGGTGTTGGTCAGCGTACCATATGTTTAGGAAACCCCTCCCCCTCTCTTTCATTTACGCCCTAAATTTTACACATGCAGAAATCAAGAGGGGGGTCCGGACACCCGGACCCCCCCTCTAAATCCGCCCCTGCTAACACGTCACATTCTGCATTACCACGGCCTTTGCCATGCTTATACGACAAAAAGGCGACTTTTCTTAAGAATAAATCTGTTTTAACTTATACGAATTTCCCAGCGGTCCATAAAGCCCCACTCACAGGTGGACCTTCTCTGGGGTGCAGTGCCTGCTCACGTTGGCCCTGAAGGACCAGCTGGCCCGCAGTGCCCCGTGGGAGACGAGGAAGGGCAGCAGGGTCACGTCTCCGTACCGCCGGAACGGGTACACCTGCCGGGGCTCCAGGCTCTGGCTCATTGCAGCTGTGTCCGACTCTGCACCGGGACAGAAAAAGAGAAGCCAAACAGAAACTTTTCCAGAGGTCTCGGACAACAAAAAACGTTCGACGACAGACTCGAAACGTTTTTTCAACCATACAGGTCCCAAACGGTGCTCTCTGAAGCGTAAACGTTCGACGACAGACTCGAAACATTTTTTCGGCCATAGAGGTCCCACACGGTGCTCTTTGAAGCGTAATAAAGTTGATGGCTGGGCTAGTTGGTAATCGTTAGACATAATAGAATAAAACAACGCAAAAGATAGAAAACGGAAGAGACAAACCGGACAGGACAGAGCGATGACTCGCAACCAAAGCTTCTTTACTCAAAGAAAAAAGAGAACGAAAAAACACATGTTACTCCATGCGATCGCTCCTTTCACCGATGGTAGTTGACTACGGTATGCGCTGGACCCTAATTGTCAACTTCAGGAATTTCAGCTCCTTGCCAGACAACGCCACTGATGCTGCACTGATACATTTTTCTCCTCTACTCTGGATGTGGAAGGCCTCCAGCACCTCGCGTGTCACTTTGTCCCTGTGTCGTCCCAAGATGGTGGTGGCACTAATAAAAGTTTGCACGGGCACTGTGGGCCCCAGGTCCGCCGGCTGAGGGGGTGAATGGGGACGCTGTCCCCATCCCTGAAAACAATTCCCCCCGCCACAATGTTCCGCCGAGAGCGGGGGGGACATGGGACGGGTTTCCTTTACTCTCTCTCTAATCCTCCTCCCCCTCCTTGAGCATAGTGCGACGCCTCTTGCACGGATACCTGTTCATCTCTAGGAGGCTTTCGACACGATATGAGTAGCAGCACGAGCCCCACGGTTTGCTTCTGTTTTCCTCCTGCGGGAATAGTTGAAAACAAGCTGTTCTTTTCTGGCCTTTTTTTCTCAGAAAGCTGCATTCACGAAATTTGAGTATGATCAATGCCCCACCAAAATACACATTTGAGAAAAGTTACACGGCACCGTGTTCACTGGTTTATTTACGCAAGTACTGTACGTCCGAATGGTGCTCGAGAACGCCTTCTAGGACCTCGTTCTCAATCGATACTTTTTTGATGCTGTTGCGTTCACAAACTCTGGTCCCGTTGAACCCCCATACGTGTATTAATTTTCCGTTTGTTGCGTTTGCCTTCTCGGCTGCTAGGTTTGCCAGACTGCCACCCGACACTGCCTGGGCGAAGCATCGAACTGCCAACGCCCTTGTGTGAACCGACCCTTATGCACGAGTCGGTTCATCTGTCTCTTTCTTTGGCCCATCCGCACCCGCATGTGCCGTGTTTGGAGGCTCGGTCAGGCGTGGTTCCCCCGGTTCCAAAAGTCCGAAGTTTATAATCGTAAACCTCGCGTGGCGTGCTCACGGCGCGCGTGCGTCAAGCTTTGTTGCCTCACACCCGCGTCGAGCTTCACTGCTTTGCATCGACATGCTAGGAAGAGTAGCGGCTGATACGTGGAAGCTGCTGGGACAGCTGGACGGGCTCCGAAATATTCCTTCATGCCAGGGGCGGCCAAACTGTGGCTTGTGACTCCCTTGCACGCATATTTCCTTCCTGGTTCAGGAAGTGACCTGCCTCCCGTTCTTAGTGATAGCTGTTCCATCACCGAGTTACTCGCACCTGCACTGGCGTTGTTCGAGTCAAATTTCAAGGTGTTCGTTTCCTGAACGAGAACACATAGTAAAGAATCGTAACGAGAAATAACTTTACGAATGGAATGGCCACATACTAACAACTGCCGCACCCTTTCTTAACTGCAATTCCTGATTTAATTTTTTTTCTTTTTCACTTTTTGCATATAGTTATTTTTGCCCTATGCCAGTGCTCTCCAAACGTTTTGGCTAGGGGGCCAGTTTGGGGATTTGTTGCAGTCTCCAGGGCAGGAAACTAGATGAGACAATATAAACCAAAGAATACTAATAAAATAAGTCTAAATATAAAAAAAATAAAAATATATAAAAATTCAAAATGAAATGTAAGAGGGACAAACACATGTACCTTATTTTTAAGCACAATATTTGACTATTTATGACATTACGGAATAGTTGTGACCTTGAGAACTCGCCAAACATAAATCAATGCACGTAGGAACTTGGGGCATATTATCCCAGGGCAGAAAACGAATGAAAACGGTAGATCAGATCAGACCACTATGCACGATATAGATGAGAATGCAAAAGGAATTATTTCGTAGTTATGCAGACATGAAGCAGGGAACTATGAATAATAATTCTGGTGATGACAATTTACAATAAATAATATGCCGAGAGAATTGGCGTTTCGTTGCAGTTTTCCAGGCATGCGAAAACAGTGGATTTTGAGTTTAAAGCCAATTCGAAGCAAATAATGGTTTTGATCAAATATTTTCAAATCAAATTGTTTCTCTAAGCGTTTCACTACTGCACCATGCCTCAACAAAAACACATCTAAGCTTGTAAAAGCTCTTCCTAAGCTTCTTACTGTTAATTTTAATCTAGCTATTCCTAGGCTGCCCAGAGCTGTTCCTAAGCTTCCCAGTTAATTTTAATCTAGCTATATTTATGAATTTTGACCTGAGAGTCATTTGCTTACATGGGAATGGCAAGTAAATTATGCATTTGGCATAAAATTAAACCCGTAGAGATGTCCAACTATACCTAATTGGGGGGATTTATAAATCTTCTGGCTACGTGCAAATATCCTTCATTAAATTTAGAATTCGAGAAAATAAAGAAAGACAATCATGAATGATGAACATAAGTTGTCAGGACATCTCTGCCTAACATATAGTACTCTTGCAAAATAGCCTTAGTTTAATTTTAAGAACTTTGCTGTAGTGTAGATTTGAACATCCTCAAAGTTTCCATTTCTTTTTACACACACCACGTGCGCACATGCACTCTCCCGCTTTGAAAGAGGGCTTTCTTTTTAAGAAGTGACTGGAATACTGGTACTTTTCGAAATGTGTTGATCGCGGCGGGTTAGCCCCGTTGAGCGCGCTTCTTAGCTAGCACCGGTGCACCGCGGAGAAGCAACACTCGCGGAGCTCGCTTCCGCGGGTGTTGCTTCTCCGCAGTACACCGGTGCTCAGAAAGAAGCGCGCTCAACGGGGTTACCCCGCCACAGTCGACATTCGGAAAAATGCGAATATGAGATTACATCTCGGAGTGAATATCAAATGGCGCATGTAATACGCTATTCGCTACAAGGTGAACTCCGACGTTCGTATTTTTCGAATAGTGTAGTTTCGAATAACCTATTATTCGAAAATTCGCACAACACTACAGTTTTCTCGCGTGCCTTCTGATATCTTCGTTTGCAGCTTTGGTGCATATCGCGGCCCGAATGTTTTTACGAGCGCTTATGTCTCTGCGGGCCGGAGTTTGGAGAACTCCGCTTTATACCACGGTTACGATAACAAATATACCCCTAATTTTAAAGAACAGTTTTTAAAAGGCGATTTGAATAAATATACTGGTTTCACACAGCCATGAAAATACGAGTGAAACAGATGTGTGAGTTGATACCCGATTCATATATGTACGGCCCCATAACCGCCTTTAGTTATTACGTTTTTCCCCATCAAACGTGTTAAATGCGGTCCCCCGAAGAACGCAGCAATGAGGTTCTGCTGCGTGATAGTGGAGCAGCTGGCCTTGGCTTATCTTTACTAAGCTAGCTACTACTTCCGTGAAAGCTAACCACACCTGCATAGGGCCGGAATAGTGAGCAGAATATGACAGAAACTAAAGGCAACCGATGCAGCTTTCTTCTATCCAACGTTTAGCGCAGGAGAATGCCATAGTAGCCTGTAGTGCCGTTTCTAGTCTTTAAACTCAGGCTCAAAGATCTCTCAAAATCGCGCTTTTTCTTTGTGCGGCAAGTCGTCTTCAAATATTGGAGGTTACGATTTCGATAATGATCTCCGAAAGCACCTAAATAATTGGAAAACGGAAAAAATTGATGTTTCATACAGTGGATAAAAAATACAGGCAAACCCAACAGTCATTATAATTAATAAGCATCGCTGTGGGAGACCTTTTTCTCCGGAAATACCGCAAAATATACATGCACGCTAAGGTGCAATTATCTATTTCACAGAGCCACACTTACGTAAGGACTCTCATTATAGCGTAAAATCCCACCTACTTTTTTTTTTCTTTATTTTTGATGTCATTGTTGGTTGAGCAGTTTTGCGCGTGTAGCTTGCTCGTTTTACCACTTTCCCACAGCACACGGGTGTGTACGGAAAAACCTGCTTTACAGGCGCGACAGGTAAAAATCATATATTTTTATTATTATTATCCGAAACGATTGAAAACGATGCCTGCACATTACCCTCAAAATTCGAAACTTAAAGACTCAGTATTTGTCTAATTAAAAAAAAAAAAATCTAAAAGCTGAATTTGAAGTTTCCGCGCGATCCGCCCCAGTGCAGTGGCGCCAGTGCAGTGAACTCGAGTTCCTCTCACGCTCCCGAACCGTCCCGAAGTGTCGTGTTCTCCCGCGTCCCGCCATCAACCGCTCTTCTCGCTGCGAGCACTGGCAGACGACGCTTAAATTTCAAGTTGGAACTTCTTTTAGGGCTCTTTCGGCGATCTCAAAATCTTTGAAACGGTGGGAGGTCGAAGAGAACGCGCAGTGGACTTGTTGTGTGAGCGACGTGAGGGACCAGGTCGCACCGGTTCTGCGTGAAAGGCTGCCCCGGCGGAGTCAGAACCTAAACTACGGTACAAAGACATCAGAACCCGTTGTTTTGATCCTTTAACGATTTCCTTTTCGAAGTATGAGAGGTCGTCGGGCACCTAAAAGAAGAGAGCTTCGTCCGATTCCCAGACTCGCCGATCATTCTCTGCTACATGCGTCGAGCGACGCCATGTTTGCCGAGGGAGGATAAAATGTCAGGAGGCGATATCACTCCGGACTTCAATTTTCGGTACTTCAAAAAGAAGGGCCGTAAATCTTCTAAATTTCAGAATCGATCACGTCGCAAATAAAAAGAAGCGAGGAACTGAGAAGA